TATATATGTTATATTTATAATAACATTTTTTTATATAGATATATGTAATATTTATAATATTTCTTGCGGTGATTATTTTTTTTAATATCTAAATGTTTTCCTTTCGATAAAATAAGAGCGATATTTATGTATAACTATTTATATACTTGATAAAACAAGTAATATGATATATTATAAAGAAGTTTTACTTTTTACTTTTTAAGTAGATTATTATATCTTTTTAATATAAAAAAATTATATTTATTTTTAAATAATTATATATAATTTTTTAATATTATATTTGCATATATATAATTATTAAAGACACGAAATATTTTGACTTTTCTAGTATAAATAAAAAAGAATTGATGAGTTATGAGGATGTTTGTAATTAAAAAGTGGCAAAAATATGACCTGTTTGTTTACTTTTTTTTAATAAATAAAGTTTTTCATGTACTTATCGCTACTTTCCCCTCCATGGAAACCTTCACCTCTCACTCCACTTCCTTCACGAAGATTCAAAGAGTCCTCATTCTAGAATCTTCTGCAACCAAATCTCTTTCCACTCCCTCGGTCCGACCGTAATAACCCATTCAAAACCGATTTTAAAAAATCCAAAATCCAATTATGCAAGTCAATCCGTCTGCCAAATATGCCATGATTAACGGTTCAAGTATCTGCAAATTGTGAAGTACATGTACATCCATTATTATATGATTTGTTCTCTTAGCGATGTGTAATTTATCCATCATTTCTGTACATTTTGCTAACTAAAGGCAATCGCTAATAAATTTTTTAAAGAAATGTTAATATTTTAAATTTTAGGTGGGCGTTTCGGAAATTGATATAGCAATCCTCCACATGTTGTGATAGGACAGACTGAACATTGGATGCGCCTTTTTTGGGCAGAGAAAAAGGGGTTGCAGGGGATCGGTGAAAATGATGATGTGAGTTGTACTGCAACTTTGGATGCATTTTCTGTGATGGGAATTGGGTTGAGCCGTTGAGACGTGTCAAACTGGAATTGGTAAAAAGGGGAACTTATGAAATAACTTCTCAAAGGTCTGTTTCATGTTCCTTTATATAATAAAGGCAAATTAAATTTTGATTATAGGCTATGTTATGTAGGCCTGAGCATCGGTCGGCCACGGTCGGTTTCGGACCAAAATTCCTAAAATCATCCGAAACCGATTAAGAAAAATCAGGGGCCATTTCCGACCGACGAAGAACTCAGATTTTGGCGGGTTCAATCCGTGCGGGTTACGGGTTCATCGGATGGATTTATCGGTTTGAGAAGCTTCCTCGTCGCCATCCGTCGCCATTCTTTGCCGGTCTCTGTCGCTGCTTCATTTGGGGGAAATCACGGAGTTTCAGATCTCCGCATCACCACCTTCATCAACCAGAACAGGAAGTTTCTCAGCAGCGGTAGCCATGGAAGAAGAAGAAAGAAGCAGAAGAAAGAAGACGAAGTGAAGAAGAAGAATAAAGAAGACAGTGTGAAGAAGAAGAAGAAAGAAGCAGAAGAAAGAAGATGGAGTGAAAAAGAAGAAGAAAGAAGACGTAACGAAGAAGAAGAAGAAAGAAGACGAAGTAAAAATGGAGAAAATAAACGGTGAAGACGAAGGTGAAGAAGAAGAAGATAAACGGTCGGATTCGGGTACATCGAATGAGAAAATTTCAACACCAAATCCGACCGTTCAAAACCGTTTGAACCCGAAATTTGCTTCAAAAAAAATCCGATATACCTAAGAATCAATCAGCCTCACCCAATCTGATCATCGGTTTGGCCGGTTTCGGATCGGCCGGAAAATTTTGCACAGGCCTAATGTTATGTACTTTTTATAGGTATACAATTAAGAATGAAAAAAAGAAGTCATTTAATTTAATTACCGTAGACTTAACCAACGCATGCGGTGCACATCTATTCAAATGGATCACCTTAACATCACTGTCACTACCGAAAGTTAGAGATATATCCAGTACGAGACATATTTACATGATTGAAATTAGGCATGATTGAAATTAGGCATGATAACGGACCGGTCCGCATATTGAAATCCTCGTTTTTTTTTATGGAATTCGAGTTTTCTCGTTCTAGTTCCTGATTATTTTTTCTACTTTATAAAAAATATGAAAAAATTTAAAAATTAAAATATAAAAAATAAGATAATACAAAATTTTAAATATAAAGATTTTTAATTTTAGATTTTATATATAAATAATTTTTTTAATTATATTATTAAGCGGGACAGAACATGTATAGGGGCAGGGTGGGGTGAGTACGGGGTAGAAGCGGGTTTAGAAACTAATAATCTCTTTTCTCTCAATCTCTAAATCTCTCATTATTTCTACACTAGACGTTTGTAACTCTCTAAGTGTCTGCACATTACACGTTTGAGGTTTGTTTCTTGTCTACGCAAAATTTTTTTATTTTCTGCTATTTAGTCATCTGGAACGGCCCGTTCTGCTTGCAGAACGGGCCGTTCTCTTTGCTGAACGGCCTGTTCTCCTTGCAATACAGGTCGTTCTGTTTGTAGAACGGGCCGTTCTGTTTGCAGAACTGGCCGTTCTGCTTAAATCTTTTGTATTGTAAATTATTTTTTTCTCTGGTACTTTGTACTTTTCAGTCTGCACTCACAGGTGAGTCACTACCGGTGACAAAGGGTCCAGGTGATGGTGTTTATTCTGGTTCTACCTGCAAACAAGGAGAGATTGAAGTTATGGTCATTGCAACCGGTGTTCATGACACACGCACATATTAATAACCTGAAATAATGAACAATGCACATTAGATAACTTTTTCTCTAGTGTGTGAAGATACTAATTTTAAGGATTTATCCGCGAAATATGCACAAATTAAACAACTTGATTTCACATGCAGCTCTTAAGAAACCCGTAAATCATCTGAAAATTATGGGATAAATCTTATCTCATAAATCAATTGATAATAATGTTAAAATAAAATAAATTGAAAATATGCTTTCCGGCAGTTTTTAACCATCAATAAATGTCATTTCTTTTCTAACCAATGCCAACAATTTAATAAGTCCTGCCGAAAATTGTTTTTGACGCACATGAGCTAAGATTAAATAATTCTTACCAAAATTCGTTTTTGACGCACATCAACTTAACAGTTATTTTAAAAACTAAAAATAACATTTGTGGCAATTTTTAACTGCCACAAATTGTAATATTAATCATTAAAAATATAATTTTTTTTAGTGATTCAATCATGTCCAATTTTATGTCCCGCTCATAATCCTTAAAATAAACATATCAATTAGTAATATAACAATAACAAAAATATTTAAATACATATGATACAATATATTTATTATACAACTTAGTTATCTATCACAATCTTATATAAGGATTGCAACAACTACATAATGCATAGGAAATAGACTATACATATTATTGGGCAATGACAATTTTTTCCCCACTCATCTTTTATGATATTCAAATTTATCTTTCCCTTTTCTTTTAACCATGGAAAAGACATGGGTGTAAAAGTAACTTAAATAAAATGAGTACGCAAATATCACTCTAGATAGTTGAAAACAAATTAAGCACGACATGTAAATTACGAGTCTTTAGGCGTCAGCTTCATATCCTCCTCACCATTACATGATTGTTGCATAATGTCTTGGATAAGCAAAGTCATATCAAGATGAGAAGAACCATCTTTTTCAACGGCTCTCTTTGCCATCTCACTGAGTTTGCCTGCCCTTTCTCTTCTCTCTCTACTTTCTTCATTATCATCATCCATCACCATGCATATTGTCTTCTTAATATCTTCCTTTTTCACCTGCAAACCTACTTTCTCTTCCTCTCCCCACTTCATTGGAATCTCTACCCCAACGCTCACACCAATCTTCAACACTTGAGTAATGAGCTTCTCATTTAAAAATTGGTCACCAAATAAAGGCCAAGTAATCAATGGCACGCCAGCACTTATTCCTTCAAGTGTTGAATTCCAGCCACAGTGTGTTAAGAATCCTCCAATGGCAGGGTGTGATAATATTAGTACTTGTGGAGCCCAACCTCGAATTATAAGGCCTCTCCCTTTGGTCCTTTCCTCAAACCCTTCTTCCATGATCCACTTTTCCAACTCTTGGAACTTACTTCCCTCCCTAATAACCCATACAAATGGTCTTTTAGTGTCCTCCAAGGCCAAGGCCAGCTCCACAAGCTGCGAAGGAATCAAATTACACAAGCTTCCAAAACAAACATAGAGCACAGACTTAGGTTGATGCAAATCTAGCCACTTGAAGCAATGGTGCTCATTAATTGAGGCCTGGTTGCCCCTTTGAGCCTTATCTAAGCCATCCTTGTTACATAATGAAACAGGACCAATGCAGCACACCTTATCATTTTTCACCTTCTTGTAATCCCTCACATATGCCTTCTCCAACTCTTCAAACGTATTTATGATTACTCCATATGACTTCATTTCAGCATCACGAATTTGCTCCCTAAAGTCATTCATTTTATCTGAATTTGAGTTCATTAGAGGTGTCTGCTCTTTGGTTAAACGAATTTGGTCAGGTATTCCAGGAATAGTAAAGTACTCGGATTCCGAAGTGATGTTTTCACAAACCTTTGAAGAGTTGATTTGGTGCAGACAATGGAGGGCAAAGCACGAAAATCCATGGAAAGAAATCCTTGGGATATGATACCTTTGAGCTACTTGTGTCGTCCAATGAATGCAAAAGTCAGAGATAATGCAACTTGGTTTGGGTGTTAATGCTTCAAACAATTCCTCTGCTTGTTTCTGGAGCATGTTGATGGCGTAGAAGATTTTGTACATATCCTCTGAAGTTACCATGTCTACATTCTCACATCCTTCAGGTAGTCCTGCTTCTTTTGATGGAAAATGGAGTTGAACTATCCGAATTTGGAGACCAGATGAAACAGCACGAGAAAGAACTGAATTGAAACGTGATGCATTTTTTGGAGTAGTGAAAATGGTAATAATTATTCCACGCTGCGCCAATAGTCTTGCAATGTCCATCATGGGGATGATGTGGCCTTGAGCCATAAGGGGAAACAAGACAAAGTGAGGGTTCTTGGTGTGGAAAACCATGGTTACTAAGAGGCAAATGAAAGGAGTAATATGTTTTGCTTTCTCTTTTGGTTTTGGGGTCTCCCTTTGCTGTGTGCTTGATTAATTGTCCCTCTTTATAAAGAGTAACATGGTTTGTGGTGATGATGTAAGAGCATATGCAATGAAAGTTGGATTATCTGAATACGTGTTGTGGTGCATGGGTGGGATGGGACTAGTCACTAGTATCTACTATCTAGTGGAAGGTGTCAAAGAGGATCTTTGCATCACAGATTTTTCTGGCGAGACGCAAACAAAAAGCTTAAGAGAACTGACCACAATATTCGGATCTTAGGATCCTATCCGGTCACTGTGTTTATGGGCCAGCCCGTTGCTTCTAGTTCCACCTCCATATAACCAAGAACAAATTATAAATACGTTATTAGTTGTATATACTTTTTCTATAATAGTTTTTATAGAAAATTTCACTCACATTTTCGTGTTTATTTAAAATTACATTTAATATCTCTTTCATTTTTTTGGACGTACAATAAGATGTATTAAAAGTTGAAAAGATGTTACACTATCTACTTAATTTATAAATAATGTTAAATTAATCTATTAATATATTCGTGTCATGCGATATGTACATGACTTTTAATAATTTTTTTCTTTCAATAATATCTCTTTATTTTTTGAAAAAAAAAATAACTAAAAGTCATGTACAAATCACATGATACAAATATGTTAACAAATTTGACATTATTTGTAAGTCGAACAATAATGTATCATGTTTCAATTTTTAAGGAGACTCATTATGTATTTAAATGAATGACAATATTATATGTAATTTTGAAAAAATATAAGAGATATGAGTGTAATTCATTTTAGTTTTTATAAGAGAAAAAACTTAGTTATAATTTTTTAGATATAATTAATATTGTTCTCTGATTGGAATTGGAATTTTACATCAATAATATACACTTATATTTAATGTGATCTTTGTTAACATACATTTATACATATTACTATCGAGATAAAAAAATTTAATTTTAATTAGAGAATAATATGAGCGATACCTAAACAACTATTACTAAGTTTTTTCTTTTTTATAACAAGAAAATGATAGAAAGAATCTGTGATAATAATAAATAAAAAAAAAAGACAAAAAGAAACGAAAAATAAATGAGATACGTAGTAGCGACATAAGAAAGAAAGATGTTATGAAAATTTAATGTTGTACCTTTCTTGCAATATCTCATTGCTAAATTCACTATAAAATTTAAATTATAAATATTACCGTAAAATTACTATTCTTTAAATAAGATTTAAAACATGTACAATATCTCCGGACAAATATTCTGATAAAAAATTATACGTGGAAAGTTCTGAGCCTTTAATTTGCAACCTATTCAATCTATACACGGAACTTCCACTTCTATAATGAAACATCTTTTCGAAGGGACCAAACAATTTGTTACGTGGGGATCATCTTATTGGTTTGAGTGGAATCTGGAATTTCTTTAATAATTTGATGAAAAAGTTATGTTAAAAAAAAATCATTAAATATGATAAGATTATAAATATATAGACTAAATTATACTTTTAATCTCTTTTAATTTTCAATTTTTAATTTTTTAAAATTTGTAATTTTAATCTTTTTATTAAATGTTCATCTATTTATTGTAGAGTTATAATATTAATGATGGTCTTTTTTAATTACAGAGATTAATAGATCGAAAATGAAAAAACAATTTCAAAATTATTAAGTAAAGTGTCAATAACATATTGAAACTATCGATAGAGATTTACATAAAGAATTATTGCACAAGTTCAAATTGTAAACAACTTTATATATTATATTATATTATATTTCATATAATATATGAAATATGAAATTATAATTGTCAGCTTCTAGGCATTGTCTAGGATGCATGTACATCTTTTGTTAAAAGTATAATTCTATTATAATTTTATATTATATTAAAAAAATAAAATTATTTTTTATACTTAAATATAATAAGGTGCTATGATTATAGATTTTTGTTATTTTCATTGTTAGTTTTTTCTACGTATTATATTTATAAAAAGCTAGAATATATTTTTGGTATTCGTAAAATATTTGGTTTTAGTCTATAAAAAATATTATCTTATTTTTATCTTTTTAATTTAGAGATATATCATTTTTATCTTCAAAATTATTCATATACCACATTTTTTTTATATATATAAAATAAAATGACTCAAAAGTAAAGCCAACATTATGTATAGCAATTATAATCCCACGTGCAACTCCAACAACACTTGTTCTAATTAATTAGTATACTTTTTGTTATCAAATTTTATTTATCATATAATAAATTATAATATATTTATTTATATATAAATCTTAATACTTTTGAAATAAATTATAATATTTTC